AAACAAAATTGTAATACCATTCATTCCTTATAAATCATTACACAATTTTCTTACCGTATGATAAAATTACAAGAAATGGGTAATAAAATTTAAATTACAACATTCATCCATCATAAACCTATATATGCAATGGTAACATTCCATGTATATATATATATATATACACCTTTAATTGAATCTTCCAAAATTAACATAAACAAATTTTGATTTCCCCACAAAATCAATAAACATTAGTCCCTAAGTTGAAAGAATGCAAAAAATCAACAAAAAATATTTACTTTGTTTTTGAAATTAAAATCAGCATGTATAATATATATTCAATATATAATACCTTACTATAAATTATCAACTACAAAAATAGAAATTTATTTATGTTAAAAACTAGAATTACCATAAAATTTAATGTAAATCAATATAATTGAAATAAAGAACTCATGGTATATATGTTGGTTTAGAGTTTGTATCATATTTTTCAACATGATATAGATTACTACAAAAACAAAAATGTGTCTAGTAGAGTACTTGAGAAATTCTTAAGCATTCCCTTAAAGAATACTAAATTAAATATTTCACAAGTAATTAATTAAAAATTGGTTAATTTGATGGAAGGATAAAGGAGAGGAAGGGATGAGAAATTGAAGAAATGAAGAGTATTATATAATTCTCAATATAGAGCCATTCAACATTGTATAACACGTTACGAATAGTTAATTTTAATTTCATTTTAACAGAATATTATCACCAACATACATTACTATGCTAGTTTATTAAAATATCCCATAAAAAAAGTTCAAAATTTATTAGATTCACCAACATATACTTAGATGCTTATTATATTATAATGTAAAAAACTACAAATCATCGTAAAATGCAGTGCTAAATTAATTAAATGATTTCTCGGTTAATTTTGAAAAATTTCGAGCTTTCACTGAGATGTGTCACATAGTTGATTGCGTCCTTCACTAGAAACTTTGGGTAAAAAGTGCCTTTATAAGTTGAAAATCCTTACCATTTTTTGATGTAGTATACATTGTTGTTTAAATAATTTTATCAACGTGCATAACATTACACATTACCGACTAAAGGGATTTCGAAAAAAAAATTGTTATTTTATAGGTGGTAAGTCCTTACTATTCATCGATGTAGTATACATTGCTAAATTGTTGTATTATTAATATGTAGTGCAATGCTAAATCTATAATTACTTATCAGTAAAGTGAGTTAAATTGTTGCTATTCAATATATACTCGCCTAATTTCTTGATTTTGTAGTAAGTGTTCATTCATTTTTACAAGTAATAGTTAGGCATGAAATGAGAATTATATAAGAGAAACATTATAATATTTATACACTACAAAAAAAAATAAAAAATAAAAAAACCCAATTATGATCCTAAAAAATAGCATTTCTAGCATTATTAATTGTTGGAAACAAAATTTTAAGTGTTTTTGTAATATCCCAAAATTTCTAGAGCATTAAAGTGAGTAAGGGACCTAATTGTGAAGAAATACTATTAATGAACTTAATGGTAAAAATTTTCAAAGTTCAAGGACTAAAAAGAAAGGAAATTAGGATAAGGATCGAGGCTGATATTTTTATCCTCAGCCACGTGTTTTTGCTCTTCTTCATCTTCATTTTCTTCTCCTCTGTCGACCGAAGCTCCCCTAAGCCACTGACTCATCCCCTTTGAGAAAATTGGTGACAAAGCTTGAAATTTATTCTTCTTTTCTTGTTAGATAACAAGATTTGGGGCTTAGAACTCTCTTTAAACCCAGAAATTTCAGATCTGCTTTGTTCTTCCCCTTTGTCTGTCCGCTGTTCTGCCGGGTGTGAATCCTTCGGGATTTTTGGTAAGAACCAGCTTCAAGTTCATCTCTTTAGCTTTAATTTGGCTTGGGTCACTCTAATCCCTTTTGTTTCTTGCGATTTTGTGGTAGTTTTCATGATTTCTTCTCCGGTCTCCGTCGGCCTCCATACCCGCCAGGTCCGGTTTTGGTTGCTGGAAAATTTCTGGTATGTTGATGGCATCTTTAAGTCCAAAAATGGTTAACTAGTTGCTGCCTTGTGTTGTTGAATTTATCAATTTGTTGCTGCCATGTGTGTCTGAATTTCTGCAGAAATATGGAAGAATTTGGCAGCATTTTAAACATGTTTTTTTTTTTTAGCTTAATTCATGTAGAAATAAACCTGTTTTTGGCTTGAAATTAGCTGCTGTTCTGTGTGGAAAAATCCTGCTGTTTTGCCAAAATGTTACTGTTCACGCGCAGTTACTGTTCACGCAGGAAAATTTGCAATTTGCTGCTGCGTTTTCTGCATTTTCTGCTGCATTTTTCTGCAAACTTGCTGCTGCATTTTCTGCGCTTGCTGCTGCATTTTTCTGCAAGTTGCTGCTGTTTTCACTGTTCACGCAGAAACATTCGGCATTTTCCTGCACTGTTTTTGACCAGAAAACTCTGTATTTTCTCCAGAAAAATTCTGCATTTTGCAGCATTTTTTTTTCCTTGCTATTGTTCTGCATTGTTTTCCCCCAAATTTCTTGCCATTTTACCGCAAATTTCTGCTCCTTGCCAAATTCTGGAAGTTGCAGTTACTGTTCACTGCGCGCACTGTTCACCCATTGAATTTTAATTGATTTGAGTAGAAAATCTCATGGAATGTGTTAGTTATGGCATTGGATTAATCTTGGTCCAGTAGTGATGTATTATTGATTGGGGTTTTGTTTGGTTGTGAGAAAGTGATGGGAAAATGAAAAGGGAAATGGTTATTAATTCTTGAATATTTTGATTAGGTTCCTGATCGTTTGTCAGTTTAGCACTGAGATCGAGCCTTCGGTTTTATGCGAGTGAGGTAAGTAAATTTATGGTAATGCCTGTACTGTTTTTAAAAGCATATTTTGATTTGCTTTTTTTTTTGAAGTGGTGGCGGGACTAAACCTGTTTTATACAAGCATGACTGATTTGAAGCGAAATTTTTATGTTTTCATTAAATTGAGCATGCCTACTTGGAATTTAAGTGACTGTCCTGATGATCTGGAAGTGATGATCTGAAAGTGATTGTGAATTGTGATTTTCCTGTGAACTTCTGCCTGTTTTGTCTCCGATATGGTCATGTTATTCGTGTGCCCGCTAGTGGGAGGTTTATAAACGCTAGCACATGTCGACATGTTATTGATAGAACCGGTTCGTTTGAGTGACCCTGCTAGTGGGGATTATACACCAGCAAATTCTGTAGCCTGCCAGGGGGAGGTTTATAACACTGGCCATGACCTATAAAGGAGACGTTTATTTCGTGCCCGTACTGTAT